GCAAAGTGTGTTTTATTGCATGCATTTGTCTTTGATTTTTAGGTTGTCTACTTGTTGATTTTATCTTGCCATACACGCCTAATTACTAGCATTTGCAAAGTAAATAAAATGCATAAAGATAAAATCCTACGCTATTACAACCATATCGAAAGGCATAAAAAATATGAAGGAAAAAATAAGATAAAAGTAAGAAAAATGAGTGTCTTTCGACCCAGGCAGTAGCAGCCTTCGATTTGCATTCTGTTGGCCTCCTTCGATTGGGGCCAGCACTAGTGAGGTTCTATCCTTCGATTAGAGGCTGGCACCAGTATGGGAGTGCCTTTCGTCTGAGCCTGGACTTAGTGCAAGTGTGCCTCTGGCTGGGCCTTTCTGCCTTGTTGCCTTCTTCGATTGGGCCAGTGAAATCAGTGTGAGCGTGTCTCTGGCTGGGCCTGGAAGTCAGTGTGGAAACCAAAGGCTTCGTTTCATTCTCCTGTTTCTTTCGATTGAACTTTTTGAACAGCAACATGGCATAAGGCCATGCTAGTATTGCCTTACAATCAGTTAATACTTAATGCATATTTAAGTAAACAAGCAGCAAAACGAAAGGGGTTAGCTCTGAAAACATATTAAGTAGGTGGAAACGAAAAGAACCAAAGTGTTATGTACATGTTTTGAAATGAAAGGGAAGATTATTCACATACTATGCCATGAAACGAAAGGTTCAAGGGTAAGAGTGACTTACCTTGCTTCAGGCCTTGAATGGATGTGGGATTCGAACTTGAACTTCTACCTGGACGTTTCTGGAATTCAAAGAGTAGTCATAGGGGGTTGGTTCGAAGAGTTATCACACAAGGTTGTCTTTGAGTTTGAACAAACTTCTATATGTGGGATGTTCTTCAGAATCGAAAGAGGTGAGTGTTTGGGATTCTGGTTTTTTTTATATTTCTCAAGTGTTGATGAACTTGAGAGTTTTATTGTGTTTGAGAAAATTTGGGGGATTCGTTCCCCTGGTCCAAAGATCCTCCCCTTAAACATGTGTTGGAGCCTCTTATTTATAGGCAAAGTTGGCTGAAGTTTTTGGAGGGAAAACAAAATAATTTGAACAATTTGAGTAAACTGCTCTTTGTAGCCTTCGAGGGACAGTGCTTGTATGCTATTTCGGTGCAAGAATGAGGCAGTGTTTCAGGACTGCTGTGCAGCAGTTTTGGCCAGTGTACCATGCCTGAACTTGGCAGCAAACATCTTTGAATATTTCATCCTTTCATTTTGACCCTCCTTCAACCAGATTCTTCTTCCAACATATTATTTTACTTTCTTCCAACAAGTGTCCTTCGAACGAATCACCTTTGTGCATCGTTTAAAGGGGCCATCAACCATGTGCTGAAGTTTGTCAGGGATGGAAATGCAGCACACTAAATGTTGTCCAGTCTAAGCTAGTACAAACATAGTCAATGTTTTGTCGAAGCCTTATGGTCGAAACAAGCTAATGCCCAGTCGAAGCTTGTATCGAAGAAAACATATTGCCAAATCGAAAGCTCATGCTCGAAGGAAGCATATTGCCCAATCGAAGCTTGAGTCGAAACAAACATAAAGGGAGTCATTGCCTTTTAGTGTGAGGGAAGTTCCTGGCTTCTGAATCGAAGGGTGTTTCTAAACTTGCACTCGAAGGAGGCTTTAAGTTCAACATGAAGGACGTATCCAAGTTGCATTCGAAGGATGTTCTTGCTCAAAACGAAGGATGTAATCCAAGTTGCATTCGAAGGAGGCTCTTGCTCAAAATTAAGGATGTAATCCAAGTTGCATTCGAAGGAGGCTCTTGCTCAAAAGAAGGATGTAATCCAAGTTGCATTCGAAGGAGGCTCTTGCTCTAAATGAAGGATGTAATCCAAGTTGCATTCGAAGGAGGCTCTTTCTCAAAACGAAGGATGTAATCCAAGTTGCATTCGAAGGAGGCTTAGAGTCAGTCGAAGGGTGCTAAATCGAAAGAGACATGTTTTCCTCCAAATTTGTCAAAATGTTATTTTTATCTGTTTTCTCCCTTTTTGACAGTCTCCTTTTAATTTTGGTATTGGAAAATCCAAATGCACTTGTTCAAGCTTGAACCTTGAAAATCTTTGTAAGAAAGGCCTTGAGAATTGAGAGGGCAAATTTTGGGGTACAACAGGTGCATATCCCATACGCTCTTTTCTGTATGGATACGGGGGACTTGATGCTCGTTGGCGATTCACGTCACTCACATCCTTAAAATCTGAGGTTCTTATTTTTTCTTTGAAGGTTTCCCATTCTTCAAGTGAAATCAAGTCTGCATGCGCTTTTGGATGCTCCGCATCGATAAAATTGTTATCGGCATCCCTAAGAAACTTGTTTGTAAAAAAAGATCGAAACCCTCTTAGTCTTTTTCCGGCCAATTAAAGACAATATGATTTTCGATCATCATCAATGTTGAAAGACCTCTACAAAAAAATATACATAGAGCGCGTTAGTAATTTAAAGACAATTGTGTCAACATTGTCATCTGAAGCATATGTCATACTATCCCCCGGTTCAACATTTCCGTTACTTTTCTCACCATGAAATATCCATCATGTATAACTTCGATCAATTCTATTCCCCAGTAAATGTGATTCCAACCTAACTGCGTCAACCCGACCCCTATAACATCAACTCAAGCAAGGACATTTCATTCGACTGGGGTTTTTCGCATGTTCAACAGCAAACTTAACAAATTCTAATACCCCATTCTCGTACTCTTTTGACAATCGATTGGAAGACATCCATTTGTATCCATGGTTTTACTACTAAGTAGCCTAAACAAAAACACTATAATTAATCACGTGGCTATAACAAAAGAACAACTAATTACCTATAGAGAAGTCATCAACTTCTGAAACCACACAATGTAAGATTGTGAAAGCGGCTATGAAATCGGACAACAACTACACATAAACAATTAGGTTCACTAATTCAATTTCAAACATGTTTAAAACAAAACAGGTTTTGAGTGTATCTTGTAATATATTCATGAACCTCAATTTGTAAACTCCTAACTTGAGATGTTGATATTTTAGAAAGCCAAGCTATTAAATATCACAACTCATAACTTTATCTCTGGCCTAATAACAAAATAAAAACAAAATCACGTTGAAGAACTTACATAATCGCAGAAAACTTACAGAAATATATGAACAAAATCGCGTTGAAGAACTTACGAAATATATGAATAGAATCACGTTATGAACATAAATATATGAACTTATGAAAATAACTATTGAAGAACTTACAGAATCGCGGAAAACTCTTCAAAATCAGAATCGCAGAGAACCAAACAGAATCGCGGAAAACTGTTCGAAATCGTTGTTGGAGAATCGTTGTTGGAGAAAGTTGTTCGAAATCGCATTGCAGAGTCACGTTCGTTGTTGGAGAATCGTCACAGAGAAATCTGTTTTGAGAACGAAAACTGAGTTTTAGGGTTTTAGTTTTTTTAATTTAGAAATAAGACATTAATGACCTTAGGCAACGCTTTCTCATTAAAAGTGTTTTCTGACGTATTACCTTTAGCAACGCTTTCTCATTAAAAGTGTTTTCTGATGTATGCTCTATAACAGCGCTTTCTAAAGTAGGTCTTTAGCAGCGCTTATTCTCAAATTTCTTTTAAGGCTATAGCAGTGCTTTCTAAAATAAGCCTTTAGCAACGCTTTGGACCTATGACAGGGTTTCCTACTATTGGACCTATAACAGCGCTTTGAGTTTAGGCAGCGCTTCTAGAATTTATTTTTTTTATTTCAATTTTAATTGACCTTAGACAGCGCTTTCATAAAGTGCTGCCTAAACTGAGGCTTAGGCAACGCTTTTTCTTAACTTTTGGCAGTGCTTTTTTCCAAAGCGTTGTCTAATATATATAATTTAAAATTTAAAATTTTATCGTGACATATAGCAGTACTTTAATTTACAAGCGCCGTCTAAAGTGCGTTGCCTAAGAGTTGTTTTAACACTGTAGTGACTATACTATAAATTGAAAAAATCTATGCAAAAATTAGCTAATTTCGGATGGAATCGGCCAAATACATTTATTTATTTTATATTTACATCACTTCTAGTGGAGTATAGCTATACAATAAATTATGAATTATTAATGTTTTTTACTCCATGTTGCATGTTTTATTGTATAATGGTATGATATAACTCATTGAAACATGATTTTTTGTTTAGGAGGTGGATTGTAGTACATAAGCAGAAGTAGCTTTTCTGAGAAGTAGTTTATCTGAATTGGAATACAACTTTAGGTATGTGGTTTCTTTAATTTTTATTAAATCTTGTTCTTCTTATGTGTTTAGTTTTTCATGAACGATTCTCTTTTTCTCTTTGAGCAAAAAAAAAAATTGCTACATGGAATGTGGCTAGAAGATCTCCACCAAATAATGTGAGCATCAATGATTCGTTTCATGGCTCGCCGCCTACACATATTTCACCAGAATCAAACTGGGAGTTTATCGATGAGTTTATTTGTAAGATATTTGAAATTTTAAACTTGGATAACTATAATATATTGACAGGCTATGTTGTGATCTGCTTGCTGCATCAAATACAATTACATACTATTAGATACCACCATAAATGCTTCATAGTTGATAGACTGTGTTGTGATTAACTATCAGATACTACCATAACTCTAATATTTGAAGGCCCAAATATATTTGTTAGATGCAGATTTGTGTTAAATTAAGTTGTTTGTTATATTTGAAGGCCTAAATATTTTATTTACTATTGCTTTATTTAAAAAAAATAAAATGTTGTTGAATTTTGTTATAACAATTAAAGATCAATTAACTGATATATCGAATATGATCAAACCGATATAAAATTCAATAAGAATTGACTGCAGAAAAAGCTGCATTCGCTTGAAGAAAAACAAAGGTAAAGTACAATAAAACATGAAACTGGGTCATGTGTGCATATAATAGAAAAGTAGACAAATTTATAAACCACATAGAAAACAAAAGAAAAACGGTTAACTAACTCTAATGAACGAGTGTGACATTGTAGCCAACAATAGCATCACCAGAGGTCATATCAAACCAATGAGTCTTAGCAATGGCGTAACCCCTTGCCATACGAAAAAGCCCAGTGCCACCAACAACCGGCATCTCACGAACCGGGTTCATGACAGAGTTCTTCCCAACAAGAGCAAACGTGCTACCATTATACGGTCCGTCAACAAACGAGTAGCTCAGAGACATTAGAAGCCCGAGCTCCTGCTGACCCGACGAAGCGTAAATACCTTGTGCCCGGCCCACGAGCTTCGACTTCGGGTCTGATGTTTCGGTCAACGGGTCATCCGCCATCCAGATGCTTCCGAACTGGGTGAACGATGGTTTGGTGTTGCCTACCGGTTCGGCTACCTTAATAGCACTTGGGTTTTTTCCGCTGATCGTGTCGTGGAAATAAAACTGAAGGTTTGTTTCTGTTTCTTGGTTCTTTCTTGGAAAACTTTTACCCCAGGAGGTACCTGCTTTTAGTTTCAAGCTTTGAATCGGCGTTAAAAGCATAACACACATTATAAGCATCATCATCACCACCACCACATATTTCTTAGACATGTTTCAAGTATTTTTGCAGGGTTGTGTTGTGTTGTGATTTTGCTTTGTTCTATGTGTGTCTGGTGCACATAAATAGAATATTTCTTGTTAGAAAGTTCTTTTTTTCTTGTGGAGTTAGTCAATTGTGCGTATCCTTGAATTTAGTTGGATATCATATCCTCATCCATTCAAATAAAGTTATTCATTTGCACATTTTAGATTATTTTATTATAAAATAAATTCATTTTTTTAATTAATTTACATAAAAAATACTAACATTAAATTATATAGGCACTTAAGATTTTACCTTACAATAACATTTACAGCGAAAAGTTCACTACAGCATGTTAGCTCATTTCTTTCATAGTTGTGTTACTGGGGTAGTTGAACTGCTTTTAGCAACCAGACAAAGGTTTAAGTTTTTCGTACTATATCTCACTTTATTCAAGAGGTGAGAATAGGTGCAACAAGGAGATTTGGTTCTATTATGGAGAGAGTAAAATTGTAACCAGTCAAAAAAAGTTGGTGTAGTGAGGCTAATTCTTTCATGATTAGATGCTCCTAATTGCACAGCCACAAACGGTTGTGAAATATAGGACCACTAGTATAAATACAGTGTGACATAAACAAAATTCTAATAAAAATTTGTTTTTAACGATATTTATGAAAAAAATATATTTATTTAAAAAAATTTAATATTTGATAAAGAAATATTCTATAATATTCTAAACATATATGAAAAATTTTATTTATAAATTTAAAAGTTTAAGAATAATTAAATAATTTTTAAAATTTTTAAAAATAGTTGAGATTAAAATATATTATTCTTTTAATAGAAATTAAAAATAAAACTTGAGATATTTGTAAGGACTAAAAACATATTTAATTTATTTATTAATTATAATAAATAATAATAATATTTTATATATATATATGATGAACTTGAAACATTATTATAAATGTTTAATTACAGCTTTGGTCCTTCTATCTTCTCTAATTCAGGTAATTGATCTTTTTATTTTAAAGTTAAATAATTTTGTTTCCTTTATTTTAAATTTAAATAGTTTTGATTTCCCTCTCATATTTTTATACTTAAAATTAATAAAATTTGCACTTAATGATAAAATTATTTGTAAAATAAAGATATTGTTAAACTTTATAGATGGAAATTGATCTGACCTGATCAGAAATGGACCGTCACGGCTGGCTCCGGGCAGAAAGCTTTTTGAACGAAGTGGGGGGATACCTGCAAGGCACTCCGATGCTGAAATAAGTAGGAGTACGAGCAGATAATAGCAAGTGTATGGTTAGAATGATGAATACCTGACCCTCTGGAAACAGAGGGTATTTATAGCCCCCAGCGCTGGGCCAAGGTTCCTTCATTGGGCCGGGCAGGTTTGGCCCAATGGAGGAACTGCCATGTTCTACGTGCGTAGTGGGGACCCGCACGTGGTCCCCTTCCTAGATGTTCTGCGTGAAGTGCGGGCGGACGGAGACGCGGTCTTTTCGGGGTATCGTTGGGGGAACAGTGGACTGAGTCTGCCCTAGTTGGGGTGCTCGAGGTAATGTCGAGCTGGACATCAGGATGTGGAGCTGGACCGCAGTATGTCGAGCTAGAGGTGTAGTTGTCGAGCATACGACTACCCGTCGGGCACGGTCGTGACTCTTTGGTCGGCGTGGTCCTTAGTAAGTCCATTTGGACTGGGCCTTAGCAATGCTTTTGGGCCTGTCGGGCCCAGTCCAGAACAGGAGCCCCCCAAGTCGTGGTTCCTTTGTGAGGAGCCATGGCTTGAACTCAGGTCATTTCCTCATCGAGGTCTCGTGCCCGGGACAGAGGTGCAGAACCTCGAGGGCCTCCTCGTGCCGTGCTCGGGGACATCTCCCGCGATGGATGCCTGGAGGATCCTCACCGGGGCGTGTTTGTCGAGCACACGTGGTATCTTTCGGGAACTGTGCCGCCACCCTATGGGGATAGGGTCATCATTGCGTTGGGAGCAGCGCGTCGGGGAGAGAGACTCTGTGGTTGCCCGAGGTGACGTTTGGTATTCCACGTCATCACTATAAATAGGAACCTTGGGCCCCATAACACGTTTCTATTCTTTGTGCTCTTTCTGCTGTTGCTCTTCCATATTTTTCCCAGTCGCGATCTTATGTCACAGATTCTTTTACTCCGTAGCCGAATCCTACTTTTTGATTCAAGTAAGTGGTTTATCTTCTTCATTTTCCTGTTATAATGCATGATTTTCAGCGTTTGTAGATGTTTTAGGGACTGTGCGCGTGGGACTAGCCCGGTAAACTCGTACTTAGCTCGACATATTCATGCTTAGGATCGGCAAGCGCATGCTTGTGGCCGGTATATTCATAGTTTTAGGCGATAAACTTCAGCGCTGCCCGGGGTCTTCATGATCCAGGGCGCCTGATTCATGATCGCGCCCGGTATGTTCATGGTCCTGGCCGTAGGTCTCATGATGTTGCTCGCCATGTCCATACCTTGGGCCGACATGTTGGAGAGTGGCCGTGTAGTCGGTTTGGAGAAGAACACATCGAGTTTTCTGGATGTCGGGGAGGCGACTACTCGTGTAAACTGACTTTTGTGGTCGTGCATGGAACGACATGGTTTGTCGAGCATATGGCTTCGTGCCCAATTGACTGGTTTCCCGTGCTCTGCAGGTAACCATGGCGGACGAGCCGTGCTCCTCTGGGCGCCACGAACGTGAAGAACAAAGTGCCGATGAGTCGGTCAGCTTGATTGATACTGTCGACGACCCTTCGCTGGATTGGGTGGGCGCCGAGCCCCGAGGGATTGCGTCGATCTACAGCTGAGGCGACCGAAATCCGTACGCTGTCCTCGAAGCGGGCCAGGGCCAGCCCGACTTCCAAAAGAATTTCGTTGTCATGCGCCCGTCCTCCCGTTCACGGATCTGCTCGGTGTATCCAGAGTATAGCTTCGCGATGTACGAGATTGCGTTCAAAGATCTTGGGCTGCAGTTGCCCTTTAGTGATTTCCAGGTCGGGGTCTTCACTCATCTAGAGTTGGCCCCGTCCCAGCTACATCCGAACTCACTCGCCTTTATCCGGGCGTTTGAGCTGACGTGTCGCTTTCTGAGGATCGGGGCGACCATACCGCTCTTCTTCAGGATTTTTCATCTGCAGCGCCAGTCTCGAGGAGGGAAACACAGTTGGGTCTCCTTGAAGCAGTCGAGGAGACTCTTCAAAATGTATATGGACTCCGTAAGGGGTTTTAAAGACAAGTGGTACGTTGTGCGGCCAGTTACCACCTCTGCTTTAGGATCCCTGTACGAGGAGGAGGAGCCCCTAAGCGATGATGACGGGGAGGCGGTTTTGGGCGACGATGGGAATCCTGTGATGGCCCATACGGCTAAGTTTCCTGTGCACTGGATGTTCAGGCACTACGAGCACGGGACTGGTTACTACCATACTGCTGCCGGGGACATGTGCTCGGAGGACGAGGAGGCGTACGCCACACTTTGTCGGTTTGTCGATAGCTTCCACCCTGCTCGGTGGGCTACGAGGGAAGGGGACGATATCTTGGATGCAGAGGGTTATCCGACATTTGAGTCCCGGCCGATTGATACTAAGGCACTCGTGGAGTGCCAGACGTACAGGCAGGCTGCTCGTCTGTTAAGTTGTTTATTGCTTGAATTTCTTTTCTCGTCATTTATTTATGAGCTTGCTCGATACTAACCCATCTTTTATTTTGTGCAGGTTCGATGGTCGGTCGACGGGAAAGGCTTTTGAAGTTGTCTTGTGACCAGAAGCGAGGCAGGAGGGTCGTGAAGGCTCCACAGGCGACGAGGATGGGCCCGCCACACAGTCCAAGTGCTCCTCAGCCGGTGAGGGTGGATTCGCCGCCCAGCTCGGGGGCCGCGTCGGATGGGACCCCAGAAGTTGAAGAGGTCGATCCTAGTGTCGTCCTGATACAAAGGAAGAGGACCCGGGTGGAAAGTGGTCTGACTGTCGGCGAGGACGCCAGTGTTGTCAGGTCTTTCGCGTTCCCCCCTTGTTTCAAAGAGGAGGGCTTCTTCGAGAGATTCCCTCTGACAGTGGTTGCCGACGAGGCTGAGGCTATCAAAGGGATGAGCAAAGAGGATCGGAAGATGCATCTGGCCGCCAGCATGGACGGGCTGGTGAAAATGGCCGAGATGGCCCTGGTGTTGTCCGAGGAAGGGGGGGATCCTGTCCGTATCGAAGAACTCGAGCAGGAGAAAGCGGCCCTCACCTCGAGCTCGCGGAAGTTGAAGACTGTCCTGGAACGCTCCGAGGAGATGTTCCGTGAGCAGACGGCGATGTTGGATGCTGAGAGGGAGATGTTGGTCTTGGAGAAGGAAAGGTCGGGGAAGTTGGCCGAGGAGGGGGAGCTTCTCCGCGCAGACAGGGATCGTCTGGGGACCGAAGTCGGGCACCTGGCCCAGCAGGTCGAGGAAATGAACGTTGCCATGCAACCTGCCGAGGATGAGCCGGAGGACATAGCGACTTTGAAGTGTCGGTCGGAGCTGGTCGCCCATATCCGGCTACTCGAGGCAGATTGCGTCGGTGCTCTGGAGGAGGGGTTCGACTCTGCAGTCGGTCAGCTTTCATTGTTAAACCCGGGTCTGGTCACTGAGGGTATAGGCCACACACATCAGATCGTGGATGGCGTGATCGTGCCCCCGCCCGACTCTCCAGGTGTCGACAATGACGGTTCTGGGGAAACCTGACTAGGATAGCGGGCCTGCGTGCCTTTGACATTTGTATTCTTTGGGCCTGCGTGCCCGTTTGTTGTACGTTATGAACATCGCCGACCTTCTTGGTTGGTTTATAATTGCTTTGTCGCCTTCGGGCATTTTTATCTGAATGCTGTTTTACAATTTGAATGTTTTGCCCTTGCTTGAAATCTTATATATTTGCATAAAATTTTAGCCTAAGTCATGGGCCCGAGGCGTGCCCGTAAGCGGCTGTGATTTGGCGAGCGAGCCTGCCCGCCTTCCGTTTGTACACGTGCCCGGCCCTCTTTCGCTGGC